TAACAGTGAGGAAACTGTTAGCAATTTGTAAGTAGATTCTCAATAGGCGCAAAATCTTAATAGTATGCTAGCAGTTTTGCCAACAGATTTGAACAGAGTATTGCGGCAAATTGATGTCAACTACGTTTGTATTTAATTCGCTCTACTAGCAGATCCTGTCGACATAATCTAGAATATATCACTTATGGTAAATGAAATGGATTCTGTTCGGTTATTGCAGTCAATTTGCCATCATATTCTGTTATAGAATATGATAAAATGTATGGTAGATAGTTTGCACTAAATCTGTTTTTGACAAATTCGGCTACTTAAGTTGGTAGCACTGATAATGAGACACTCTGCTGCTTTACAAACATAACACATGGCGATATCGACGAATATCGAAACTGATGAACAGAACTGACGTCGAATTCTACCATGTATACTTTGGCGGAAACTGTTGCATTTTCACCAATATTCTGACTAACAATAAGAATATTGCAACATTATAAATCTTACAATCTGCAGCTTTTCCGACAGAATTCATAGTAGAATTTATAGTAGAATCCCTTCCGAAACAGAGTCGATCAGAGTCGATCGCTCAAATAGTTACGCCCCTGTTCCACGTTCGTCAGCTTCCTCCCATTCTGTCTTTCCCCCACTTTCTCTTCCTCTCTTCCTCTCTCTCTTCCTTTCCTTTTTTATCAACGAGGCTGTCCTCTCGCGTGGTCGGGTCCTGAATAATGCTGGAACAGTCGTGAGTGTGATCGCCGATCGCGTAGATACCCTCAGCTCTTTAACGGGAAAGGTCTTTGTGACACTTTATAAGAATGGTGCGAAGGAATGTTCAGAAAGGACAAGTGCAAGTTCTCCCGGAGCGCGGTCCCGGTAAGTTCCGCGTGCCTACGCATCCCTACACGATCCTACGATCGCGGAAGTAGCCAACCCGGCATACTGGCGATCATTGATCCGGGAACATATGGTTAGTAACGTGTAACACTGGTCCTATTCTCCTTTCGTATTTACGATCACGAAAACTTCCCTGCACGCTGTAACTGATATATTCAGCGAAAATTGTATTGTTAATCAAGCCCGCTTTAGATATAACTCTCAACCCATTCCTGTTTATAATTTTATGTCTCTTGTAATGTGTAAAAAATAGAAAAATAAAACAGAACATATACACATACATAAATACATATCAAATACGTATCAAAATATATATATATGAAATTATGAATAGAATGCTGTCCTGTGGGAATTTTCTGACTCTAATTACAAATTAAAAAAGATAGGTTAATATGCTTTAGAGACTATTAAAATTGTTTTGTTTAACGTAAAAAAGATATCAATGATTTTTTTGGGGATTATATTATATATATTTTTGGGATTATATTATATATTTTTTTATTATATATAAATTATTTATTATGTATTATATGTATATTTATATATGTAATTATTTTCTATATAATCGTCTACATATTTAGTCGATTTTGTTAAACTATACTCGAAGTGGAATGAACCAGTTGTCGATAGGAACTCGTTTTAGTTACAACTCACCAAACCGGTTCATATCTGCTAGTAATAGCTACGTTAACATATTATGCATTGTAGTATTAACTGTCAATGTTCAATCTTTTTGTATAGTAGATAATATATAATAGTATATAATACATAATGATAATAATAATAGTATAATATATTCTTTAATATTATTATATAATATTAGGTATTATAATATTATATATTGTGATTATTACTATTATTATTATTCTATATTATAATAATATTGAACAATGATATTTACTGATTATACTTAATAAAATACAAATGTTGTATAAACTTTTGTTATATATCATCTTTTGTAAGGTGTCTTAAAAATTTAAAAACATTTTTTTTAACGACGTTCTTTAGCCAACTTGAATTTTTTTTTTTTTTTTTTTTTATCATTTTTTTTTAATAAAAGAATGCAAAATTTTAAAATTTTTTTTAAAAAAAAAAGAAAATAAGTTTTTCAAGAATTAAACTTTAGGATTTTAAATGGAGTTTAATTTAATAGGATTGAGACTAAATTATAAAAATACGATAGGGGAGACCAGGGCGAAGTCAACCCTATTTTTTCGGTGTCGATTTTTAACAACAAAATAAATCATTTTAGTGAAATATAGTATACCATGGTAAAGAGTGAACCCTTGGCTACAAAATTTAGATAGGCATTTTTGGTCTACGTCGCTTTGTTTAACCGGTATAGAGTAAAAACGACAAAGGTGCAATAATCGAAAAGTCAAAATTCCCGGGGCGGAGTCGTGTCTTCATTCTTGGACTGGATTTTAAATAAAGATACATAATTTTGATCATAAAAAATAATAGAATACACTTTATTCATTGTTTTTTAATAGAAAAATGGAAAGCGGAAATTTCAAGAAATCAATTTTCTTTTTTGCTATCAGTGTCACTGAAACAGTTAAAGCATATAAAAACAGAGTCTGACGAGCGCGCGCACTCGTGTGCCTTACGCCTGCACGAAATGCACTGTTTTTCATCGGCTCTGTTTTCTATTATCTCCGAGCATAATACGCAGCATATATTATTTAGCTTTCTTGACTTTATTTTTCGCCCACTGCTCGTCGAAGGCTGCGGTTCTGATTGCGTGGGATTTTTTTATTTTTGGGGCGGCCTCTCTTTCTCGGCGTAGGTATGGTCGATTTTGTCGTTCTCTTCCTTGTAGCAGATTTCTCATCTTTCTTCCGCTTCGACTCCGCCTGCTCAGTCACCAATTCCTTCATTTGAGGCGAGTCAGTAAGGACCGGCGGTCGTTTTCGTCCTTTACGAGTTGCCTGCCTCGGAGCGGCTTTAGAAAAAACACTCGAATACTTTTAAGAGTTTTAAGTATTTGAGCGTACCATATATTTTCCTGCAGTTGAGAAATACAATGATGCATTTGGAAAATAGAGTGAAACCACCGGGACGAGTCCGCCCCGGTGGCTTGGTCACGACTTCGCCCCGAACTCAAATTTTAGGTTTGGTCGCGGCTTATAAAATAATAGAAATCAATGAAAATAAAAAAACTGCACTGGATTCGTGTTCAGCATGCATTAAGCCCCTTGCACAATGCTAGGCAATAGGCAATAGGAACAGGAAATAACAAAAAAAATCATTAATTACAACCTAAAAAATTCGAATGCTATGATTGGTTGGCAACAGGCAATAGGCACAGAATTTCCAACGTGACAGAAACTCTGTCTATGCCTGCGTTACTGTTTATTCTGCATTTATACATGATTTTTTATTTCTATTCCTTGTTCCTATTGCCTGACATTGTGCAAAGGGGCTTTACTCTTTAGAATCACTTACTTTGAGATTCGGAGATACAATAATACTTAAGATATTACAAACTTTCGACGCAGAAGAAATTTTATTTTTGACCTGCGAGAACACGTTCGCTTCGATAAGAATCACAACATGGCACGTAACTTCACTAACTCCGTTGGTCACGTGGGCACCATAAGCCGCGTTTACAGTATTAATGGCGAGTTTACACAACATACAGATTTCGAGATAATTGCAAAAACGACTCGCCCCGGGGCCGACTTCGCCCCGGTCTCTCTTACTATAAATTGAAAAAAATAACTAAAATAAATAAACTTTTTTAAAAATATAATTATATTAAAATAATTAATTAATTTTAAAGAATCTGTTTAAATGTTTTAAAAATTAATTCTACGTAAAAAATAATTTTTTTTATAGAATATACGTTAATTTTATAGAAGATAAATGTTAAAATTATATTAACAACTTAACCTAATCATTTTATTTTTTTGTGAAACAAACCTGATTTTTATTTATCATATTCTTTAATTTTTATAATAATGTATTACATTTTTATTTATTCACGGCATTTGTAATAAATTGTATTAAAAGAGTTCCACACACACAAATAATAAAATTAAGTTTAAGATACTAAAATTAAAAATTAATTGATATTAATTTCCATTCACATTGTGAACGTTTTTTTATCATGTTTTATCTTATCTACATTTTGGTGTAAGATATTTGATGGTCTAATCAAGTCATCAAACACACTTCACATATCACATATGTTTCTGCGTATTTTTGCATATCGATTATTTTCAAGCGACGTATTTTCTTCGATAACTCACATTGAGACGTATTGATATGAATTACAGATTGCAGAGATTTTATGAGAAAATTCAAAATTACTCAAACATTACAAAACTAAAAGTTTTTTAGTTTCCACATTAGAAAAAATGCGAAGAAACGCGAGTTTCTTTGTTTTTAGATAGATCAATCGGGTTGCTATATCTACAAAAACAAACATATCAAGTAAATACATAAAGTAAATCACACAGTTGTATTCGTAGTCATTATTATTAATTTGTTAAGCTCCAGTTGTTCCATGTTACGTGTGCGAAATTGACTTATTTGCATATAGCGCTGGATATTATCTGTGCAAATATATTTTATGTTTACAGATACACAAAGTACCTGAAGTTACAGATGTATAAAATGTACAAAAAGAATCACATTTGCAGAATTATAATAATCATCAAGTGATTTGGAAGATATCTCGATTGGCAAACATCTTTTTTTAATAAAGATTATAAAACAATCCTTAATATCGTTTTTGAAAGAATATTTGAATGGATTTGTTATCTTTATTGACATATTTGCAGCAAACTTTGACATATTTACGGCAAACTATTTTTTATAAAAAAATTCTATTAACACGAGACTTAAAATTTTATTTAAAATTAATTGGAAACTCTGATAATGCAAACAGCGATGTAAATGTGTCATGGAACTGATACTTATCATTATCAAGAGAACAATTATTTAAACATGAATCATGAACATTCCCATATGAAAAAATACATTCTTAATTTGTCAACAATGTTAAATTGAAAGAAATTAGCGGTTATTATTGTCGGATGAAGTATATTAAGCTAATTTTCTTTCGTTCTTTTTTGTAATGTCCTTTTATTGGTTTCTATTTACAGTGGCAGCTCTGATATACTGGCGCGATCCGAAAAAATCGGGGATCATGTTCGGCACAGTACTAGGCGTGCTCTTGTCATTGGCCTATTTCAGTCTGATTAGCGTGCTGGCTTATATGTCACTTCTCGCTCTTAGCGGAACCATTCTTTTCCGTATTTACAAAACTGTTCTTCAAGCAGTTCAAAAAACTTCGGACGGCCATCCATTCAAGTAAGTATAAAGTAATAAAAAACCTTTTAGGAATACTATGTACATGTTATGGTCAAGCCCGAAACGCGAGCAATCCTAATAGGATTGATTAATCAATTCTGCCGAGCGGCCAAGCGTCTTGTTTCAAAGTTTTGTGATATGAAGTGATTTGCTGATATGTGTATAGACAGTACACAAATATTCCACCTGCGGCAAAGCCTTTCCCCCGCATAAAAAAACTAACTCCCAGCCTATTCCTAGAAACTGCAGCTTTAATCAAGACGCTTGGACATTGCACAGGATTGACCAGTCATTTTGCAGAATTGACCAGTCAATTCTAAGAATGCCGCGTTTGACCATAATATATAAGTATATATCCTTCTGTGTTGTTGATGTTAGGTTGATGAATCTTTAATACACGGTATAGATCACTTTTTATATACGCCATTAATAATCCTAGCAAACACAGAATACACTGAGTGCGTAATTTGCTATCAAATTGCGCACTCGGTGTATTCTGCATGTGTTTGCTGGGATGTAATGTGTTCCTATTTTCTATATAATGGTACTACATATCTAGGTAATTTTTTAAATATTATGAAAAAATAAATATGAGTATGTAGTACATATATAATAATATAAATGTAAATAAAGTAAAAAGTTAATTGCTAAGAGTGAAAATTTGAATACTAATATAGTAGAGTATTCAAATATTTGAATACTATATATACTATAAATAGATATAATAATGTAAAAATAATTAATGTAATATTAAATCCCATATTAACTATTATTAATATACTAATATAAGATATAGTTAATATAATACTAATATTAGTTAATAATACTAATACTAGATAATAATACTATATTAACTTTTGCAAAAAGTTAATATAGTAATATACAAATAATTAAAATGTTGAAACAACCTAATATTGTCTTACGATAATTTCGAATGAACTTTGCTTTAATCAAACCATCATCTGTATTGCAGGGATATTCTTGATCTGGATCTGGCATTACCAGCTGAGAAAGTGCATGAAGTCGCGGATGTTGCGGTTGCACACGCTAATGCTGCCGTTAGCGAGCTGCGTCGACTCTTCCTCGTTGAAGATTTCGTCGACTCTCTCAAGTTTGGCGTTTTGCTATGGTGTCTTACCTACGTGGGTTCTTGGTTTAATGGCATGACTCTCATTATAATTGGTAAATTTCCTTGTTTTTCAGTATTGTTTTATTCAATATTTTATATCTCGCGACTGTACATACATACATACATACGTAGAATCGATTTGACGATTTGATTCTACTTTATTTTTCAGGAGTGGTTGCTCTCTTCACGCTGCCTAAGGTTTACGAAACAAACCAGGATCAGATCGATCAGAATCTGGCCTTGGTGCAGGCGAAGATCAACGAAATTACCGCCAAGTAAGTTGAGTGAAGACTTGCAGTTTATGAGAAACTTTACAAAAAACATCTAAAAAATAAAGCAACAAATTTTTTACTTATTTATTACGCACGAATTTAAAATACATCGCATTATTATGTTAAGCCTTTAGTTAAATTTATTTTATACATACACAGATTTCTTCTAATTCTATATTATAGAAATTTTATATGCTTTTGTGATAAAAATTGAAACTGGTATTATTATGTCTAATTTAAATTCGTAAACAAACGTAATTGATTTTCAACGTTATTATTATACTTTTATAACAATGGAAATGTGACAATCAAAGTAAAGACTATTCTATTTTTATCCAACAAAATTGTGCAAAGAGAAAATAAACGTGTCGTACTTTTTTATCACCTTTCATATCTTTTATCGCAATGTTTCTTAAAAATCAACTACTTGGTTGTTTTAGAGTAAAAGCGGCAATCCCTCTTGGTAAGAAGGCTGAGCCGACGAAGGAAGAATAAAGGAGAGTCACGAGTGGCGATAGTCCAACGGACAACCGAGACAGCAGATATAGAAAAGATTAAGCAAACGAAACAAACGAGAGAAACGTGAAAAGTGAGAGAAGAGTTTGAGAGCGCGCGTGCGAGCAGACCAATACACGACCGAGAGGAGACTTGCATCATATTACGAAGATCGAGTAATCACGCGGGTAGTATAAGCTGTTAGCGGTATCTTTAAGAATCTGTCCGCTGTATTTCCGGAGAAGAATATCAATTTCTCGAGGCAAAACGGTCGGTGAAGCCAAATGGCTGCGCACGCGTACATCGACATTCTAATCACGAGAGCAATTCTTATTGAGGAAGTAAACACCACGAGAGAAAAAAAGGAAAGATAGAGAAATGCCACACTTAGTGATTAATTAATCATTTATTATTACGGTAAAAAAGCGACGGCATGTTTTCAGTCAGCCAACAGCAATGCGCGCGGGGCTGCTCTCGAGAATTGGATCAGCCCTCCGACTCTCCCTTCCCCCCTTTTTCGTCGTACTCTTTGACAAATGTGTTTTACAGTTATCATAAACTTCGTGTTTTTACCTACCCGATGATGTCCTTTGTTTTCCTCTTTGCGAAGAGAAAATGAAAGAGAGAAAGAGAGAGAGAGAGAGAGAGAGAGAGAGAGAGAGAGAGAGAGAGAGAGAGAGAGAGAGAGAGAAAGTGAGCAATAAGGCTGTATGTGATTTATCTTAGTCCCGTGCTTCGTCAAAGCGTCGTATTTCGATTAGCTTGGATCATTGTTTAATGGATCGGGCGCTACTAAAATAATTAAATCGCATTGTAGCGAGGTATAATGAGAAATGGGGGTGTCGAAAGATAGTGATACTTCAAAGATTTAATGGACAGGAATGAGTGACGAATACGAGAGATGTCCAGCACATAAATAGAATCGTTTATCCCTAGCGATAGAGATCTTAAAGTAATTATCTAATTTACAGCGATCCCTCATCATCTCGATGTTTTTAAGTTGTTGTGTTTGGGAGAATTGAATGGGAGAATTTAATGACGAATTAAATCGTGCAGAAACGTATATATTGTATCTGTCTCTCAATAACGTTGACGTTTGCATAATATTATTGCTACTGCATCATTAACTGTAATTATACCGTTATGTACGCACACGCATTTTATATATATATACATCGTATATGCTTCTGCTCGTGTGCGTATGTATATGTGTACAAACACGCATGTGTGTATATGTGAATGAAAAGGACGGTTATCGAAGGAAATGATCCTAAATAATAACACGGCACGAAATATATTTCAACGATAAACAATAAAGATGCAACTTTATATCATAATATCTAATAATTATCGAGAACGCGTGTTTTTATCGGGACCGCTGGCAAAATGTTAAGAATGTGAATTGTAATATGCATATATGCTTCTTCTCGTTTTCATTATTGCATCTGCATCCGCATCCGCATTAATTTATAAATAAATGATATTAAATAATAAAACCGCTGTCCTTTTCTCATTTATCTTTTACGTCTCTTAAGTATATCCCTTTGAGATATTTTGCCCAATGAACATATGCCATGGGTTTTTGAATAAGTTTTAAAATGTCTAATGTGCTAAAACACTATTATATGCACTTAATATGATAAATTTGTAAATTTATAACGGTAAGATTTTCTTTTTAGTTTCGAATACGAGGCATTTTTGCAGATAAGCTTTTTCAAGTCAATTTTAAGTAAAGAATTTATATTTTTCAAAATAAGACTGTACATACATATAGAAAATTATATTTTTCAAAATAATACTACGTATTCGTCACTAATAGTAACTTCTAAAAAAAAACGTTTTTTGTTTGAGTCTAATCCAGAATTATTGTTAATCGAAATTATATTTTTTTCATATTCGAAATTCCTCTTTTCTTCCTTCAAAGTTTTTTTACGAGATAAAATGGATTTTTGAAGTTTAGCATTATTCAATAAGTTAAAAATTATATAATAGTAAACAATCTAGAATGTGAAATTAAATGACTATGGTTTGGTTCAAGCTAGGTACATCACATTGTATTTAAATATTCGAGTTGATTAAAAGTCCAAATCTATTATACATTTTTATTATCCAACATTATAACCATAGGCATGTTATTTTTGACCTATTTTGATATTTAGATTGTTCTATTTGGCTTAAGTTGTGTATTTCTGACTTTTTTTAAATCTGTATTTGTAAAGTTTATAAAAAAATTTTAACACGTTTCCAAAATCCAAAGTACGTTTTATGATGTTTTAAGATAATTGAAAAACATTTTTTAATTTTGTGGAACTGTCGTAAGGACTTTATTATGATGTTTTTAAAACATTTTATGTTTCGATTTATGACTGAAATGGGATGTTTTTAGGGCTGGTATTACACAGTCCAATTATATCTTGCATTCGCAAGATCATCTTAAGTATAATTTCAAGACGCTTGTCGTCATTTCATTGCATGCCCGATAAAAACAGTCACGTTACATCCACGTCGAATCCACGTAATTTCGTCGAATCCACGTAGCAATAACGTGGATCCACGTACTGTTTTTATCGGGTGGTTGGATGGAATCTTAAGGTCACCTAGGCTCTGATCAGACTTAAGACGATTTTGAATAAGATTGGACTATGAATTAAAACGTCTCATGCGAGGTGAAAATTGATTGCAGATATATACGGAAACGCATTAACTAGAAAAAGCTGGAGTTTAATAAAATCTTTTATCAAAAAGATAGAACTAGAGCCTTTAGTAAACTTTTTCATTAAAAGCTGGAGTTTTTGATAAAGTTTTAAGATATCTCCAAATATTTGTTGTCTGGGAAATAAAATGGTTCGAACTTTTGCCGCTGCGAATACGTAACCGTTCGCTCGTGCGCATGTGTCACCTTGGAGCAAGGTGACCACTGCCTTCCCAACTAATAGCGCACATCATTCGCTTTCGGCGAGCCGCCTAGTGCCAGTCGGGTGTGCGTTATCGCTGCAGCTTGTTGTATCACAAGTAACCGAGCCGATTAAATTGAGCCGTCATGTCAATGCCAAACAGCGATCACGAGAAGAGGAAGCAGATATCAGTGCGTGGCATCGTCGATGTCGAAAATGTCGCAAACTTTAAGAAGACCTTTAACAGACATCTTCACTATACCCTGGTGAAGGACCGCAACGTCGCCACGAGCCGCGATTATTACTTCGCCCTCGCTCACAGCGTCAAGGACAATCTCGTGTCACGATGGATTCGCACCCAGCAGCACTATTACGAGAAAGATCCCAAGGTACTTCGCTTGACTCTCGCATAATCACTAAAGTCCGACCGAAGCAATCTTTTTTAATTTCGGCCAAAACCGAAACCGAAAACTGAAACTTTCATGGGAATCTTAAAAAGGCCGTATATGTATACGTGCGTACATATATGTATACGTGCGCACATATACTATACGGGATGTTTTCTAAGTACAAAAAATTGAAGGCAATATTCCTTGGCTTATTTTAAGAAGAAAAAGTCCATTAATATGAACATATGTCCTAAACTGCTTCGTTTTCAAAATAGTCAAAAATTTTTAGATGCGCCAAATACACGCGCCAAATACACACACCAAATTTGAACAAATTATCTCTAAGCATTTTCCAGTTTTTTGAAATTTTCATGTTCTTTCTCTCAACTTTGACACCCTGTATTTTGAAGAACGAAGCAGTTCAGAACACATGTTTATAGGACCTTTTCTTCCTAAAATAATTGAAGGAATATTCCCTTAGTGTACTTACTTAGGAAACACTCTGTATACTTTTTCTTTATAAATGTCATAATTATTAAAACAATAATTACACATATTATCACAATCCTACTATCAATCCTTACAATCTTATCATTACAATCCGTAATATAATGCTATATACTATCCGTATTATAGTATCACAATCATTATTTCAATATTAACAAAATTTTTAAACGTAAAATAAAAATATTTTTTAAACAAGTCTTTGGAAAATCTGTGGAAAATAAACAGTTTTGTCGCTGAAACTCGCTTTCAATTTCAGCCGAAACCGAAACCCGACCAAAATTTCGATTTTTGGCCGAAACTAGCCGAAACCGAAACTGATACCGAATTTTCGGTCGAACTAATAACACTAAAAAAAAAATAGTTGTTTTCAGTAGTTTTTTGGATGCTGAATACGATCTCGTTTACCAAATTGCTTTATCACATCATAATTTTAAAAAATTTGTAATTAAAGTTGCAAAAATGATCTATTTTAGTATATTTTAGCATATAACTCATACGGTATGTGACGTACGTGTTGGAGAAGTTTAATTACAATCAAAATTAAGTATGTTATTAGGATTTTCAGCCTATAAAAAGAAAATTTATTGTGTCAATTATAGTTAAAAAGATATCGATGATTAACGTAGAGGCTATTGCGTCAAAGTTGCGACCATTAAGGATCTATTGAAATATTTTTAATTTATATTATTCAAACTTGAAGGTTTTTCAGGTCGCTGAAAACTAATCTGATGTCAAAGTTGATAAATTAAAAACAGAACCAATGGCGGATATCAAAAGTAAAAATTCGGCCATTATTAATTTTGATATCCGCCATATCAGATCTGTTATTCTTAATTTATCAACTTTGACATCAGATTAGTTTTCAGCGACCTGAAAAACCCTTAAGTTTAAATAACATAATTAAAGAATATTTTATAGATCCTTAACCCTCGGTTTATCTCTTTTTTTGAACACATCTGTCACATGGTCAATATAACTCCAACCAATTTTCAAGCAGCAGTTGTTCAAAAATTAACAGTTTAAGTGGATCTGAAAGAATTCTAGAATTAAGTTTAAACATTGTACAATGTATTCTCATTATAAAAAATTAACTTTTTGAGTGGCATCATAATAAGAAAAACCTTAAAAAATATGTAAATTTTGAAAAAAACAAACAAAATTTTAATTTTTATTTTTAAATGTTTTTTGCTCAAAATTTTGCATAGTACTCTTAAAATATATTACTTTAATAAAAAAATAAAAAAATAATAATAAAAAGTCGGGTTACTTCGACCCCGTGTGACAACCGAGAGTTAATGGTTGTAACTTTGATGCAATAAGCTCTACGTTAATCATCAATATCTCTTTAACCATAATTTACATAACAAATTTCTTTTAAAGACTAAAAGTCCTAACAACATACTTAATTGCTACATGTATAATTAAATTTCTCCAACACGTCACATATTGTATAAGTTACAATATGCCAAAATACGCTAAAACAGCCTATTTTTGCAATTTGTTACTGCAAATTTCTCAAAATTGTAACATGATAGAGCAATTTGGCAAACAAGATCATATATATTTAGCGTCTAAAAAATTATCAGAAACGGTTAGTTTCGTTCTTGTGCTAAAAAAAGTAATTTTTTGTTGAATGGTGTAATCACGTCTTCAAATTGGTACGGTTCCGGCGAATTTGTATTTTGTTGCAATAATCGTACGACAATCGATCTCTTTATTTACTATCTCTCTCTGTTTTTACATCTTCACAATTCGACGATTATCGTAAGATTTTTTGCGTTTAATAGTCGAAAATTAAAAATTCGGAGAATTAGTATTATTTAATATTCGTCCAATGGAAAATAATACCTAAAATTGTGTTTATTCTGCAATTTTTATTTGCTGAAATTATCAGGTAACTTATATATACAAAATAAAAAAGATAACATCTAAATTTATATATTTTTTTTAAACAAAATTTATTTAGGATCAAAGAATAGCTAGGCTTATATGGATTTCAAATAACCTTGAAAATTCGATATTGTTTGCTGCATTTTGCATATCTCAGAAATATTTCGCAACATAGGCGAATGAGAAGTCGTTATAGTTCATAAGTCGACTACAGTTCATTAAGAAAACAAATCGGAGGACACAGCAAAAAATTACACCGGATAATGCGATTATGCGATTTATCAATAATGCGGTAATGTTACGCATGATCTTTCTTATCCGCATATATGTATTGAATTTTTATAAGAATTTAGATAAGGCTGTGTCTTGCATAATAAAGATATAATAATGACTTTGAGTACATACATGCGTATGTATAAAATATACGTTTCTCGATGACCTTATTTTAACCTTTGTATACACAATATGATTAATCAATCGATATGAGGGATGTAAATGTGTATAGGTATAAGAAAAGACGCGGTTTACAATACGCAATTGCAGATTTTTTTTTATGTCCATCTCATTTTATGCAAAAAAATGTTAAAAGTACATGCATAAAGTATTTATTTTATATTACGTCGAGATATACGAGAATCAAATAAAAAATATCTTATTTCTCAAACTATTAATTTTTCAAATAAATTTAATATTTTTATATATACAATGATTAAGAAAATTATATAAAAGGATCATATTATTGCTCAAAAGTTGATGGCAGTATTGACATAAAAAAGTGTTTTATAAAAATTTATTGTATATATCGTGCGGATTTTTCCCCTAAAACTGTGAAACTTTTATTTGAAACATTTTTCTCAAAAACGAGGAACAATTGTGAAATAATCGAGACGACGTATATTAACCTTTTATTGCATAAACTTTTTTTGTACATATATTTTGCTAAATTTTAATATATAGAAGTTTTTGGGGTCGTTGATTGCAAATCTTAAATCGAAATTTAAGAAATCAAAGTTGCAGATCCAATATAGCGGCCATATTTAACAATTATGATTTGTACATAACTAAAATTTTATACGTGATGGTCTTTCAGGCTTTTAATTTCAAATCTGCAGTCAGATCTGCAGAATTTAAAAGTTCAAAATAGCAGATATCCAATATCGAAGAAATATTTGCTATTTTTTAAGGATCGAGGAAAAAGTCTCGTTCTTGGCATGATCAAAAAGTAATGACGACAAGGAATCTCAAATATAAATATTCACTGCAAATGTAAAGTTTCAGCTAAATAAGTAATTTGTAAAATTTTTTAGTTATTTTGATCGCCATATTGGATCTGCTATTTTAAATTTTGAAATTTTGAGCAGATTTAACATTGACCCCAAAAACATTAAAATTTTCAGGCCATGTTTATTACTTTTTCTTTTCAACTGAATTTTTTTAAAGTAAAACCAATTTTGACTAATGCTTTGACGTACTACTCCATCAAGAACCGCGGTTTTTTTGTAGCTTGTTTTGTTAATTACTAAATCCTTTACCCCCAAACCAATTATGGAATGCATAAAAACATGGAAAAACTGCGTAAAGATAGATGTTCCATATATAAGACTATTATAGATATATGAGTATATGGGTTGAAGTTGTTTTCATAAAAAAATATAAATTGAAGTATAAATGTTGTTTAATGTCCTTTATTTTGTTTTTACAAAAAGTGCTTAAAAATTCCTACATAGACCTCAATGCACTTTCGCTCACAAATTAATAAATTGTTTTAAACTTTTTGAAAAATATATATTTGGAGTTTTGTGGATGACATCGACAGCATTAAGTGCCATGGTTGTTCTGAATTGTGGAAGAATATTTTTGTAAAGCATACAGAATAAAGAACATTAAACAATTAACATTTACTTCAATTTATATTATTTTACAAAAGCAACTTTAATACCCTGTAACTCCGAAACGTTTAGATATATGTTTATTAGGCATTTTCGACTTGTTTTTATGTATAATACTAAAGCCGCTGTACCAGTTGGCGCAGAGTGGCAGGGACACCCTGTATATGTATATGTACACATCTATAATACATCTACATATGTATATGTCGCAGCTTTTTTGCAATAAGGCTAATCTGTTTGGAAAACGACGGTACACGTTTGCGCACATTTATTGGCGCACAGTTCGTCAATTTTCTTTTACTTGAAAGTACATCACATGTAAGCGGGGGTGGGGCTCCGCCGCAGATGGAGGAGTCCCTCCCCCACATAAAGAAACTATAATTTAATTCCAAAATCCAAACATATTTCTGAAAACTTGAAATTAAAAATCAGCCTGAGAACGATTGAGAAACGATCTATCTTTCGCAAAACGCCGCCATTTTGCAAACAGGCTAGCCTTATTGCAAAAAGACTGATTTCGCAAAAAAATTGCGACATATACACTTGAAAAAAATCTATTTCAAATTGCTAGTTCGTTTGTTAAAATTGTAGTCGCGTGCGTGTGAGTTATGGAAACTTTTTATATAATTATACAACGTCGCATATTTATTATTATTCAAAAAGAAAGACAGAGCCAGTAATAATAAAATTTCCCCCAATTAGTGCTCGTTTTGC